CACCACTTCCAAGTGGCCATTGTGAGCTGCAAACATCAGGGCGGTTGACCTATCTTGATTTTCTGCGTTCATATCAGCTCCAGCCTCGAGCAACATTCGTACCACTTCCAAATAGCCCAGTGCCGCAGCGGAAAACATAGGCCATTCAGGTTGAGGGCTTGGGCCTCTCCTATTGGGATCCAGTGGTTTCTGAAGCAACTGCTCAACTTCAACAACTCGATTGTTCTCACACGCATGGAGTAGCGCCTCCCAATTGGCCTCCTCAGGCGCACAGAAGTCCAAAATCACCAACTGCAAACCTGGTAGCTTTCTGACAGGCATATCATCCTGTAGCTCGCCCATCTCTTCACTGAAGAGTCTTTGTCGAAATCTTGAGTATTCAATTCGATCGGCTAGGAGCTTTTTCAGATCCTTTACAGATTGTCCACTCTCCACCATGTAGCTGAGTTCCTCCTCATGAAGCTGGGCGACCGTGGCACCAGAGAGTGCTTGAATCTCCATGCCTTCACACCCCAGGAAGTGACCACTTGAGCGAAAATGGCTTGAACCATTTATGACAAACTGTATTAATATACTATATAATATGTACTGTATATATATATATTACTTATGTAAAACGGTCATTGGATTTACAGTATCTATGTTGCAATTATTGAGATGTCTTATGATGAAATTCATTAACCACAGGGATACTGGCTGGGCAGTCAAGTCTGTTGGAACGACATTGGATTGGGGATGTCCGTTTCTGCAACTATTGTTCACAATTCCTTTACCAAACACTCCATGCGCGTATCAAACATATCTTCATTGTAAGACCCCATGATTCCATGACCAACAAAATCGATCAATCTGCCAGTTCAGTAGGCCTGGGCCGAGTGTTGCACACCCCCCGGCTTCCCCCGGTGTGCTCCCCCAGCTAGCCTCACCACACTTCCCTCCACATCATCGCCCGCGGAGCCGAGAGACGGACCAGTTCTGCTCCGCACAGCGCCACGACCAAATCGTGTCGATGACGCTGTCGTACCACTTCTCGGGGTCACGCACCGTCAGCAGCACCTCCCGGTCGGAGGCCGGGAGACCGGGTCGGTGGATGGAGGTTCGTTCCCCACCAAAGGCTCTTACAGGTCGGAGTGGGTGGATGGTTTGATCCTTGTTGGGCATGTTTGGAGGTTTGACGCACCTTCTCAAGTCTGGTGAGATTCTGAAAGCCTGCCGCCTCATGTGCTGTGATATACTATGCTCATGCTTATACTGCATGGTCATTTTGATGCGGTGTCCTCTCTTGGCTGGGGTCATGGAACAAATTCGCAATGATGAGGCGAGGGGGATGATCAAAACAACCTGGCGATCGATGCTTCAAAATCACCATAAACAAAACGCCAAGCCGTCGCATGACGTACTCCACCACCACCACCACAATGACAACAATGACAACGATTACTCTGTCCAACAAATCGTTCGCATAGTGAGCGCCATGGCCTTGGCATCAGGATACTGCTCCATGAGCTTGTTGTACAAGCCACAAGCAGGATAATCCACTGTCGCCACGTAGAACTTGTCCCCATCTGGATGAGTAAAAATGCCTTGGTTTCGCGCGGCAAGGTCCGCGCTGCCGCCGCCGCCAGCAGAAGCAGCAGCAACAAAAGCAAGATATAAAAAACATACCTATATATATAGACTATATGTGTACTTGATTAAATGTACACATACAGCATATATCAACATATCATACAGTATATATATATACATATATATATATATACACATATTTCTCAACTACGACTATATACTTATAACCCTTCTGCTAATTGCTGTTGCTTGAGCTGTTGCCGGATGACGACCTTCAATCCCTTCCGTCACGTTCGTGTCCCTTCCAAAAACGAAAAAAACATAACAATAAAAAACAAAACGTTGTGATGGTCCAGACCGATCTTCAGCTGAGATGCCCTTCCAATCAGCTTCTTTTCCGTTGTACGCATCAATCCACTTCTGGTAGTCTGGTCGCTTCACACACTCAAACCTCGCAAAACGCTGTCGGTACGCGCGCGAAGAACGGCATCGCGGCGGAAGGTGCCGGAATCCCAGGGGCGGAGCGACGGAGAGCCGAGATCCAGGGGGATCCAAGAAACCCGGTGGTCGGAAAAAAAAAAAGGAAAGTCAAGGCGGCATGGACAAGGTATCATAAGTCTTACTTTGGAGCTCTTAGGAATTCCACCTGGTCACCCAAACCATGATGTCCCGTCAATTTCACTGAATTCCCCCAGAAACAATTAGCCCAATGCATCCACACTGTCCTGCCCGTTTTGATTCCCAGGCGCATGTGGTAGCATGGTCCATCGAGCAACTTCTCCAGGGCGATCTTCACGCTGTTGGTGCCCGTACGGCCCCAGCCCGCGCCGATCACCTTCAAGCGTGGCTCTCCTTCCAGTTCTTTCTTCACCAAGGGTTCCTCAGTGCAGAACGGGCACCCACAGGGCGGATGACATGGCCATGACATGGGGTGAAACTGTCCCACATGCACCACTCAGAGTTCGTGGTTTTGGCAGGTTTGGTACTCCACCGGGCCAACATGGAATGACATACATGTAAAACAAAAAAACAGCAACAGCAATTTATTCACTCTGCCTATCCATGCCATGGCTCCTCCAACATATCCCAAGCATCCCCAGTCAAGTAGTCAGGTGGTGTTCAACCTCTATAGATAACAGAACAATATACAAACTACATATTTACCAGTATCTGCAGCCGAGCTGCCGTCATCGGGCAACGACGGAAGCTCACGGCCGCTCAAGCAGTCCCGCTACGAGCCCAAAATGGCGTCTTTGGACCGGCGGTGGAGCAAAGCTGTGAGGATGCGAGCAACTTAATCGGTGACTACAGTGGATACTGGTGATCCTGGTGTCCAAGGAATACAAGGAATACGAGGTTTCAGAGCAAATGGCACGATCCCCAAGTTTGATATGTATATATATATAGTTAATGTGTAACATATATCCTCCCTCCAACAATCATGGAAGCTGACAAGGACCTTTTTGTAGAGGAAAATGGTCTTCCAGGGACCGAACTGGTCCACTTCCATAATTGTTTCAGGGAGTGTCATTGGCTTGGAGCCACACCCTCGTCGCCACGGGGACGCAAAGGATTGGCCGCTTGGCCGCCGAACCTTCGAGTAGAGTCAGGCGATCGGGCGATACGGATATAACCTTGCAATCTTGCAGGCCTTTCTCGCAAAACATTGTTGTGGTCTTGTCACGCTACACTCCGGCCCCATCATATAATATGTTTCCATCTTGGACGTATTATCACGTATATTCATCTACAAACTGACGCTTGCTCCGCAAAACCATGACGGCAGCCCTCAAATGACCAACAACCAACAACCAGGACGACAACAAACAACAAACAACACACAACAAACAACAAACAACCAACAACAACAACAACAACAACAACAACAAACAACAAACAACAAACAACAAAACAACAAACAACAAACAACAGCAAACAACACATACCACACAACACACAACACACAACAACAACAACACAAACACAAACAGCACACAACAAACAACAAACAACAAACAACCAACAACCAACAACAACAACAACAAAAACAAAAAACAACAACAAGAACAACAAGAACAACGACAACGACAACGGCAACAACAACAACAACGAGAACAACGACAACGACGACAACAACAACAACGTATAATATATGTCATACCGCATGTGCAGCCAAGCCCAACATAATCAGCCAGGAGACCAGCAGGTCCAAGTCCAACTCTGATTCCCTGACGACCTCCATGGCTCGACCTCACAAATCCGCGCGCAGCAGGCTGCAATCTGGAAACCTTGAGCAACAGCTGCTATTCAATTAATATTAGTCACCTGCAACACCAATACAAACAAAATCTATCAACATCGAGTCTACTATAAATTCATGTTTGGAATCACCGAACCCCCCAAACGTGTATAGTGCACCTTCAAAACGTACGGCCTCTTTAGGTTGGCAACCGGGAGGCTGCAGGTTGGCAACGTACAGGGCTCACTCACCCTGCAGGTGTCAATGATGCACCTTCGAGAGGCTGCAACCTAC